ATTAAAAACATCATTTGTGGTCGTTTGGATATTGTTTTAAAATATTTATTTTAGTTTTAGTTGTGTATATATTTATGTGTCTCTGTGTGGGTCTGTGTATGTGATTGTAGATGCCAGAAGTGGCCAGAAGGGAGCGTTGGATCCCCTGGAGCTGGATTTACAAGGTATTGTGAATTATTAATAGGTGAATTTCATTTCAAGAAGAAGAAGAAAAAAGACATTTGTAGCTACCCTTCAATTGCCTCTTGCCTTCCCAAATCTGTCCAGACTAGAATGCTGTTTATACCGCTCACGTTTCCTTAAGACAGCGGATACAAGGGTTGTTATGTAAGTTTCCTGTTTTGTTTATTGAACTTTATACTTTACAGAAATAAAAGAAAATTTATGGTTTTGTCTTGTTATTTCCCCCCTCAAGTTACAATATCATTAACACCCATAATCTGAGTGACTTTTGAAATAAGAGAGAAAAAAATGTTTCCTTGATTTTGTTTTTACTGAAGAGTATGTGTTCAGAACATGAAATTATATCCCATTGACATCCGCTGAGCTGGAAGAGCTCCGAATTCCTGTATTTGCTGACCTTAAGTGGTATTATTTTGGGATTTGAAAGTCTGCCAAAGTATAACTCCAGGCAAGGTAGACACTTAGGTGTATTTATGATTCTCTTTAAATATCTCTGTACATCTATCACATGGATAATAGTCATATCTGGGCACCGCACCGCTCAGAAAAGCAGGGTTTCTGCCAGCGGCTCCATGGGATGTGCTATTGCCTGCCCTGTAGCCACACATTCTACAGCGTGCAGTACTGTTTCCATGGAGCTACACCAGGGGCCTGGGGAAGCATCCGAGTGTCTGAGCATCCCCTGCCGAGGAGTGAGCCTGCTGGTTTCTGGAGTTAGCCCTCCAACTGTCCGTGCCATCTCAGTTCAGAAGTTGGGGAATTACTGAAACGTATTAAATGTTGTGAAATTTCTCATCTCCCCAAAGCACATGTGTACACGTATTATTGCGTGTGTTTAAGCACACGTGTGTGCATGTGCACACGCATGACGACCTTTGAGAAGGCCCGTGGTTTGAGATCTGCTGCGTCATCACTCGGCTGGACTTGAACTGCACCAATATTTTAAGACGTGACACTCAGCTCATGATTCAGGAAGCCGATTTTATTTTTGTAGAAGAAAATTCGGGACGTTACAGTAGAATGCCAGCTTTTCGCTCTGTAAGTGACTCTTCAGCCAGACCCGGCTTGCAGTTAAAAGTTAAATATGGCAGAACGGTTGTAAAGCATTTAAATTTATGGGCTGAGAATGCACCAATCATTTTGCCATTTAGCTTTTCTCTTGTAAAACTCCGGGTAACGTCTCTCTGGCCGGCTGTCTATCTGCCAAGATGCTGATGGCGACTGTGAACGTACACCTGCTCTTAATTTACAAACTGTGCCTTCTCAGAAATCAGCTCAGAATTACTTTCTTCTAGGACAAGTGGTACGCAAAGGCAGTCACATGGTGAAGTACCAGCATCAATCTGGAGCAGACAGGGCAAAATGTCCCTTTCTCCTTCCCAGCCAGTTCCTGCTTACGCTCTGCTACCTGGAGGCAAACCATAGCAACGTTCACCATGAGGTCTTTCTGTCCTCTTCCTGTCACGTGCACGGCTGCACATCTTCACGTCTGCCTGCCTTCAAAATAAGTCCCGGGATACTGTCCATATTGCTCTTACTCCCAAATTCACATTTTCCTTCTAGGGTCAATCACATCCCATGCCTAGCTAAAGGTACTCCTTCTAGAGATGTTGTAGCTTTCTGTGGCATTTCATTTCTTTATTTAATTATTTCCCTTTTGATTTGGATATATATATACATATATATATGTATATATATATATATTTATATTTATATTTTGAGATAGGGTTTCTCTATGTGACAGCCCTAGCTGGAACTAACTCCATAAACCAGGCTGGCCTTGAACTCATGGAGATCCGCCTGCCTCTGCCTCCCGAGTGATGGGATTAAAGGGATGCACTGCCAACACCCAGCTAAAAATAAATTTTAATTTTATGTTTTGGGTCTGCCTGTGCCTGTCCTCCAAGCACACGCCTGTGCCGGCAGAGACCAGGGAAGGTTGTTGGAGACTCTGGAGTTGTAATAATGGTTCTAAATTCCATGTGGGCACTGGAAATTGAACCCAGGTACTCTGCAAGAGCAGTCAGCCTTTAGAACATCGGAGGCATCTCTCCAGCCCCTTATGTGGCAATTTTAAAATTATTTTTATGGGTGTGTCTGTATACACACACATACATATGGGTATGGTGTCCCGGGAGTCCAGAATAGGGCATCCTATATTTGAGTCAGAGTTAGAAATGCCTGTGAGCCACTGAAATAGATGCTGAAACCCGAACTTTGGTACCCTACGAGACTAATATGTACTCTTAACCACTGAGCCATCTCTGCAGCCCCCAGTTTGACCAAATTTAGCTGCTACAGACTCTGGATTTTTCCCCATATTTCTCCTGTCTGACTTTCTTTTACATATTTTATTATATGAACTATTTGTGAAGTATTTTGATCACCATTGGTAATTTCCAAGTGTTTTCTTTTTCTCCAAGTGACTTAAAAAATTGGATTTAGTTCATCAAACAGTCAAGCAACCTGACATGGTGGCTCAAAGTGTAATCACATTTGGGAGGGCGAGGCAGAAAAACCGTGAATGTATTTAAAACCTGCCAGGACTACAAAGTGAAAGAGATTCTATTTCAACAAACCAATTTCCACCCAGCCCCCCCCAAAAAAATCTTCGAAAAAAATTAAACACCAGTTTGTAATCACAGGAGTTTGAAGTCTGAGGAAGGAGGATCTCAAGTTCTAGGCTAGTCTGGGCTACAGAGTGATAGCTTGTCTCAAAAAAAAAAAATAGAAACTCAGGTGTTTTGTTCCACATGAAAGACAAAAATTAAAGACAAAATGTTTCCTTCCACCTATTTCTCCCATTTTAATAGTTGTAGTGTAAGCTGAGCACTGTGGGTTGATTTCAGTGTTCTCTTCCTTCTTTCATTAGCTCTGTGTTCATAGCCGCTGCCTTCCTTGGACACATAATTTTAAAACCAGCAAAAAGAAAATTCCCCCAATCCAAATAAATCCATACCTATGTATGGAGAGGGTGGCACAACCAGTAACAGGAGGAAAAAAACCTTCCTTTCGGAGATGCCACAGGAAGTTGATGAACACCTGGCTTCTCAACAGGAACTGTGAGAGACAGAAGACAATCAAGTAGCCTTACATTGTGCTAAGCAAATGGCTGCCAATAGAATACCACAGCGAACCAGAGAGCAAACATTTTCTTCAAGACTGAACCTTTTAGGGGCTCAGGAGATAGACAGGTGAGTGGATAACAGCTTGCTGCCAAGATGGAGGTCCTGAGTTTGATCCTTGGAAGCACATAAGAAGCCGGGTGTGGTGACACACACTTCCAGGGCTTGAGGTAGATGTGCAGAGCCCCCAGGCTTGCTGGTCACCCAGTCTAACCGTCAAGGAGATCTAAGCCAAGAAGTGACCCTGTCTCCAAGATACGTTCTCTGTCAAAATCCAATATCCTGTAGTTTTTGAAGAACATATTTTTCTTTAGTTTAATTATTTAAATCTGACTACTTCCATCCATAAAGACCTCCTTCAGTCTGTTCATATTTTCTGTGCTTGGTGACCTCAATATGTGGTAGGTACTGGTTATGGGAAATTGTTGCCATTTTCTGGAGGGCAGTACAAAATTGGTTTAAATACTCCAGAGAATTTTAAGACAATCCTTTGGGGTATGGCCCCAAACCCTTGGGGGTTATCTCACTTTTTTTTTTTAATGTTTCAAGTGTCCACCAAAGACTCTTCTCTTATTTTCTAAGTATCTTTAGCATCCTTTAAAAATAGACAGATGCTAGCTACGGTAGAAAGAAAGCATCACCAAGTGCCAGACTTACCTCTGAGATGCATAGATACATATATAAGTATGTGTGTGAGCATGTGCATGTGAGGTGAGTCCAGGTACCTGTGGTGACCAGCAGAGGGCGCCAGACTCCTCTAGAACTGAAGTTACAGAGACTTGTGAACAGCTGGATGTGGGTGCTGGGGTCCTCTGCAGAAGCAACACGCTCTCAACTGCTGAGAAATCTCTCCAGCCCCATAATGATTCATGATGGTTTTGAGCTATGGTAGCAGAGATCTCAAATACTTAAATTAAAAATGTATCTTGTTCTGTTTTGCTAATTGTTTTCAGTGGAAAGGTTAGGCTGCTATTGCTGCATGTGTCCACCACTGGGGAAGGGACTTGAGTGAGCCGAACTCACTGTACAATTTTGTATAAGGTGGAAAACTAACCTATAGACAGTTATTGCAGTTGATATTAAATGCTGTTTTCCTACATACTCACATATGCCATGTGCTAGAAATCTACACATTCATTAAGTTTCTATCTAAATTTCTTAATAAGGATAATGAGCAATAATATTCCTCTAATGTTAAGAAATCAGCATAGTCACGGGCCTTCCCGTGAGAGATGCCAGGGTGTTTGACTGAGCCCGGACCTCTTCTTTCGAAACCACATGTGCATTATCTAAGTCTCCCCATTTCATCTCCTTTCCCGGTTCTCTTCTGAGGTAATTAATGATCGTTTCTGAGCCCACTTGAGCAATGCAAAATAATTCTGCCCTCTCTCAAATTCCCCCACTCAACCGAATTCGCAACCCTTAAAACACTGATGACATTTTTATGAGTTACACAAATTAGCATAGAGTCATTACCAAATGCATAGCTAGCTTGTGCTCAGATGTCTGATGGTCTCACAACTAAACTCCGCTTGTACTGGTTTATTTCCCTGGTTATTGGAACTTGGGCACATTGGGCTCTGTTTTTTTTTTTTTTCCATTACCATAATGAACTACTCAAAACTAACTTTACAGAGAAGAGGAGTTAATTCATTTCATATTCCTATAAATTTAATTGCAAGTTGCTCACTCTGGTGAGGCTATGGTGAAGTCCTCACGGGAGCATGGTAGCCAATGATGCAATGGCACGGGCACGTGGGAGGGATAAGATAGATACCAGTGAGAGATTACGTCCCGCAGTCCCTTCTGAGGCTGCCCCTCCAAACGCAGATCCTCTCCCTAGGCACCACCCCATTATGATTCCCTCAGCTTCAGTGTCACACTGGGGATCAAGCAGCCAACAAGAATCTTTGATGGACACACTTAAACCACGCCCATGCCATATCACATGCTCCCAACAAGGCGGCCAGAGTGCACTTGGGGTTGAGTCATTTTTATCCTTTCTCCTTTGTACATTTTTATTTTCATGTTTTTGGATTCTTCATCTTCTATCCAACAGCCAGGTAAGCTCACTGCAGTCCCACGACACCCCCAACACGCAGGCGAACCTCCGTATTGCCAGCAAATGAGCAGTTAGTGTGAGAACAGTCAGAATTCTGAACAGTTCAAAGATCCAGCAGGATCAACTCAGATGGACTCCGACGATTCTATTAGGGACTCAGTGATACTTGGCTTCTCTCTTTTTGTTTGGCAGCCACTGACCAGCATTTCCTGGGTCTGCTGCTTAATCAGTGGCTGAAAACTGGGGCATTCTCTGTCTTTTTTTTCCATTTTCATTTATGATCTGGATATGTCTATGAATAGAGGCGTACACGTTTCGCTCTACTCCTCCTTCTACTGTTAAGAAAGAAACTCACGTTTATTGGTGTGTTGTAGCTTGTTACATCTGAAACATGCTGGGGATTGTTGGGGTTACCTCGTTTGAATCCAGAGCTTTGAGACCAGCGCAAACAGCCACACAGTAGTAGGCTAGAACCCTGCCTTTTCCTTTAATTAAAAACTAGGTAAATGCACCAAAAGTCATCAGCGACTTCCAAGGTGCTACCAAATGCCCTAACACAATTCCTGCTTTTGTTGGTCCCTTAGAAGTCCACGAGTGTCTGGAAGACCCACATCCTTCCCTGAAGTAGACCTTGTCACTCTGACCATATGGAAAAAACACACTAGCCAACAAAGAAGCCAGCCTCTGTCTACTTCACCCATACTACTTTTCCATGTTCACGGATGTTGTCTAACCTTGTCCTTGGAGTGCAGAGGAACAGTGCAGGGGACAAATTGCCAGGTGTGCTCTTCGTGAATGTAAATATCTACTTCTACTAATGTCCGAGTATTGTCACCACCCAAGTTATCCTAAGTAGATGAGATCGGGTTAGAGTCATCCCATCTGGCGCCTAAGGTGAGGAAAGGTGGGTCGACGGTGGGATCTCCTATCCACTTTTCTGGCCATGGCTCTGCCTGTCCCTTGTCCTTCTATGAAGGAGGCAGTGCAACTGCAGAAGAAGACAGGGAAATGATGGGAGAAGCTCTCCTAACATCTTCATCTCATTGAGCTGGTTTCCCACTCAGGGTTCATTCCCAGCAATTGCACCCATGTGACTTTTCTGAGAAGGTTCCCTCGTCTCTCTCCGTAGATCACGGACTATAACACCTCCCACCTTCCATCTGACACCTAATTGGCTGGTTGGGATTGATTTCAGGAGGACTGTGTCCTATATGATGCTCCAGGCTGTCATATGTTAGAGAAGAGTAGCAGATGACCCTCTCCTGGGGGAACATCCCTGTTGGATTGCCTGGCTATACGAACCCACAGGAAATACTGAGAAATCCACAGGATGATGGATGTTTGTGTAAACGGAGCCAAAAGTTAGCAAGAGGAGATCAGTTGAAATGAAGGGGGAAACCCCTGAGAGGCTGTGTTTAGTGAAGGAGCCCAAATCCTTTGTTGGAGACACAATGCTGTGAGTGAGGGAGCTTGCCTAGGTGGAGAAGTGAGGTTTGATGCTGGTTTTCAAAAGGAACAGAGGGAAAACGGCACAAAATCAGAAGAGACTGTGCCGGGCCAATCCACCTGAGGGGTTCCTGATTTTCTTTGCACGGAGACATGCGAACCCTACTTAAGGGAGCTTTGTCAAACAATCCACAGATGCCTGAATATGTAATTCATGGCACTCCTGCCACCCAAAGACAACTTATTTTCTTAATCAGAAACTTACCTGGCATAATTCTTCTTCTTTTTTTTTTTTCATTTCTTCTAGGCTATATTAACGTGTCAGCATTCATGACCAGAAGTTGCTTTGAGCCATGCTGGATTTAGATGGGCTAAGTGGTTCTGTCCCACGTTACTCACCTCAGTTCCTATGACAATTTCTTCTCTGGTCGAGTAGAACATAAACTCATAGAGCCTGTAGTGCTGCAATAAGCTGAAACACAGAACAGACATGCAACTAGCGTGAGAGGAGAGAAAATATCTGAAGAAAATATCCTCAGGGAACTGGCCAAGCCAGAGACAGTAAACAGAGGGACCGAGATCCATCTCTTTCTTTCCAAAACAAGCTGCCACTCCAGGTAGCTACCCAGTCTCAGCATCAGCTGTGTTTTGCCCGAGACCCAACTTAGTCCAGGTAAGAACTGGGCTGGGTTTCTATATCCATTACGCCACACATTGCTGAAATGTTTCGAGATTAAATCAGTCTCCAGGAACACCAGAAAAAATGACTTGGTAAGGTATAAGATTTGTTTTGGAGACGTCTGACTTCCCTGCAGGATGTGTCGTCATGTGTCAAAGGCTGGCTGGCAGACGTTTAAAGGGATCATTTCTTCTTTTTTCACCTGATAACTAGGTGGTCAGTGACCACAGGCTACAAAAGCACAAAGTCACGTGCATGCAAAGCAATATTTCTAGTAAGTTCACAGCTTGGCGATGTATCATTGAGAGTTAAAAATGTTACCGAAGGGCTGATTTCTAATATCCTGTTTGTGACAATATTTGAATTTTTCTAATTCTCATCCTGCTGGTTGGGAAAATTAATAGACTCATAATACAGCAAAATGCCCAAGAACAAAAAAAAATGGTCTTAGTGGTTCTCTTTCACTCTGGTGCCTTCTGCTATTTAAGAAAATTGATTTTAATATAACTGAGAAATTAACATTTGCAAGAATGTAGCTACAGAGCATCTGTAATAATGGCTTCTCCTGGATGCTGTAATGGATCAAAGTTTCAATTCATTTGAAATCAATGGCGAACTCCTCAGGCAGCTGGGCCCCTCTGAGTTACATTAGCAGTGGGGCCTCCCTGGGAGCTCAATCCATTAAAGAGTAGTGGCTGTGTGGGCCCAGTCAAGTTTCCTTTCTTCTCTGCAGCCACTGAATACCTGATTTCCCTCATCAGCATTCACAAGGCTAACTTAGCTTTTGACATTGCTTTGATCTGCTGGCTAGAAAAACACAGGAAGATTAGCAAAGTGTGATAAATAACTGAAGACAAATAAATTCAGCGTTCCTCTCTTTTATACGGGCGACCTAGAGGAAGCTGTAGGGTCAAAACTATCACACTGACAATAACTGATTTGGGGTTACACAAATCAAAGGAAGGCCAGATTTGGGAACCAGCCTGCTATCCTGGGAACCAGCTTGCTATCCTGTAAATGAACTAGAAAAAGGTACCACTTTGTCCATCTTGCGCTAGACACGGAATAGAGGGTAAAACGTTTCCACTGAAACGTTATCATCTTCCAGTCTCTGTGCCTTATTATGTGGAGTGATGGAGCTGTCCTCTGGCTGCCAAGAGGGAGTTTAAGCAATGCAAACAGCATCCTTGACTTGGCTATGATGGTCAAAGATGCAGTAGGGAGGCAGGACTGGGACCAGTACCAGGATGTGTACCCAGGGGAAGATGCCTAAGGGGGACACTTCCTGAGGGAACTTCCAAGTTCCTTCTCTGTCTCTCTGCACCCTCCAGCTTCTTCAGGGAGATAATAGGTGCCTCATCTGAGAATCAGCTGATGGATCAGCCATGGGAATACAGTTGCTGTAGCCTGCATTGGACTTCTGTCTGACTCAAGCTTTTAGATGATGTTATCCACCTCTTAGGTTAGACCTTGAAGCAAGATGGAATATAAACAGTCCGAGCTGTCTGGCCTGGTGTCACACATTGTTTGGTACGAAGTGGGTATAGGGGTGATTTTCTTACAGTGGGCTAGCACCCCTACTCACGTTGAGCTGAAACTTTGGTAGTAGTGCTTTCAGACCACAGGTATAAATATAGCACTTAGATTAAAGTGAAGGTATCTGAAGAAATGTAATGTTATTGACAAGTTAAGTTTTATATTATTGCATGACTATTTCCTCCTAACAGCCACATTCCCACGTCGAAGGAGAGATTTACAAGACTTAGAATGGCAATATTTACATGGCTGAAGAGACCCTGAAACCAGGAGCTCAAGAAGCCCAGAAGATGACAAGATTCAGAGGCCTCTCTCCAAACTTGTATAAGCAATAAGAAACATTCGCAGGAGAGGGACAAGTCACTGACAAAGCTACCTGTCACATCTGCAGGGGCTTGAAGGACATGGCTTTGATGAGTTGTCACCCTTGCTGGTGGAGGGGGCAGGGATGGTTCAGCTGTCTTTGAGTCACCCATGCTCCTGGAAGTAATTCTAATAAACTCATTATTTCACTAAGCTAGACTTGGGCAGAATTATTTCTTTGGTCTGTCTGTTGGTTCTCTGGGAGGTGAACAGCCATTGGTTCACACCTCTCCAGTAATAGTCATGGAATGCACACGCCATGGGCTATGGTTGAAAACTTGATCTCTTAAGTTAAGTGTGGCTTTCAATGGTTGGATCAACAGATCTTCCGGGCTAAACTGAAGCACACATAGTTTAGTTGTCTTCATCTTTCAAAAACTTAATAGTTGTTGAAGTGAATATGTTGGGTAATTTCACTGCTACTGAGTTTCTATGTGTGAACTCACAAGGGATCCTGCACAGTTGTGGAAAGACTCATACAGCTTCCTCCAGCTTCATGATCAGTTCCAGATATCCTAATCACAGAGACTTTATCCTTTGTCTAATAACTATATTTAAATGCATAGCTACTCCACAATCACAACGTGGAGATTTAACAGCATTACATCTGGATTTTCTGTATTTAACTAATCTCTTTAAATAGTCTTTGTATTAGGCGATCTAAGATCGGGCATGTGGAGCTGTTAACATGTACATTGATGAACATTGCCTGGAGAGACGAGACAGGGAAGGGAGCTTGTCCCTCGCTGTCAGGACAGGGACATCGTGGCATGCGTGGAAGCTTTGATGCTCTGGTTAGCTTGGGGACCCCATTTGCATTATAAACCTTGGCTTAAGGCTCTGCTGCAAAAATGTGTCGTGCCCGAGCAGACCAGCATGTGGACACGTGTAGATGAAGAAGGAAGTCAGAGCAAACATGCGTGGTTGACCTCCCCTGTTCAGGGAATCTCAGACCCTAAGGTGCAGAAGGACCTCAAGGCACAGATTTTCAAGTGCTTGTTCATGTGTGTGCTTGTGTTAGTATGTGTGTGTGTGTGTGTGTGTGTGTGTGTGTGTGTGTTCAGCTGTATGCATTGCGTGGTGGGTGGTAGAGGTGACTGGACAACCTCTATGCTGATCTTTGCTTTTGCTTTTCATCTTGTCCTGGAATGTGATCTTTCCTGTTCACTGCTGCCCGGGCCAGGAGCTTTTTCTCCCAACACCTCCTAACTTCCTGTGAGTCAGTCCTGGGCTTACAGGCATGCCTGGCTTTTCGTGGGTTCTAAGAATCTGAACTCATGTCCTCAGGCTTTGGCAGTGAGTGTTGGGGGTTGGGGTGGAGAGATAGGAGGGGATGGGGGTTAGATTTCTGTCCATTTCCTCCTCTTCCCCCGCTGGAGGAACTTGTCTTGCTCTAAAAGCTATGGACACTTGTCAGGGTTTCAGTGAGACTCTCACACCAGGAAGCATGTTTTGTACTGAAAGAATCGCATTGTAGTAGATGTTACCTTGTAAAAAGTACTGCATCCCATGCCATTTTTAAGCCATACCAGAAATCAGTATATAAGCTTTATCATATTAAACACACTAATGTTTATAAAGCTCCCAGACAACAACCAGGACCTTTGTCATGTAGGTCTTGAACCTGTATAGGACACTGGGTGGCCCTCTGTTTTGAAAGATGTTAACTTCTAATGCTGGGAAGTCATGGAGATGCAGTTGAAGAGGGAGAGCGAAGAGACTGTGCAGGAAGGCGGACTTAGGTAGAGGTCGACTTTAACCTGCTGGTGTCCGGGCTTTGTGGAGTCTGAACATTATCTTTTTGGAGAGAGGCATGCCTTTCACACTTAATAACGAGTTAAACTGGTTATTAGTTCAAAATATCTTAGAGTATTTAATAGATCTGATGAAGTATGTGATTCTCTTCATTTTTTTTTCTGTGCCAGGGATTGAGCACACAACCTCATGGTTGGTAGGGACAAACACCTTACCAAGGTCCTACATTCTGAGTCATTTTTGTGAATACTTTTGGGACAAGGTCTCACTAAGTTGCTGAGGTTGACCTTGAATTCAAGCCTAGTGCTTCCCCCCCCCCCCCCCTAGGATTAGAGGCCTCTGCAGTGAGGTCTTGTAGCTCATTCAGTGCAAACACAAATCATGCAAAATTAACTCCTAAGTGGAAATGAAGGGTACTCTTTAAAAACATAAATGTGTCTCCTCGGATCCGTTACACCTGGGTTTAATTCTGATTATAAAATGCTGTTAGTTCCAGACTCTGGGAAGTCCCCAGGTCAGGTGAAGTCAGAGTGTCACTCAGGAGTCGTCTTGAGGAATGCAGAGCGAGACCAATGCTCACGTCCTCACTTTCCTTCATTAGATGGAAAAGTTGAGTATTCTCTACTTTAAGAAAATTCATTTGTGTTCATGCAGGTGTGGGGGTGCACCTGTGCCACTGCCATGTGACCATCAGCAGCCTGGAGGAGTTAGTCGATTCTTCTCTTCTGCTACGTGGTTCCCAGGTATGGAACGCCCGGCGGCTCATCAGAGCGTGGTGGCCAGAGCCTTTTCTCAGGCAGGCCAATCTCCGCGGCCCAGCTGCTATCTGCTGATTGAGTAGTTGTTGCACAGATTCTATGCCCATCTAAACCGACTAAAGTCTAGGTTATCTTTCATAGGTGTTTCCTATAGGACTCGAAATGAAAGATGAACGGAATGAATATAAGTCCTACCTGATTTTCAAGTAATCGATGATGGCGTTGGCTTCTTTGACATCAAAGACTTGCAACCCCTCATTCCTCGGCGAACGGTTTGGTCCAATTTCCGCCATCACTTCCCCGAGCCACTTGATGCTGTCCTCTAGGGACATATGGAGTGCTGAAAACAAAGTCAGAAAGCCTTTCCATTATCGCGATAGCTGCTGTAGGGGTACGAGAGTCCAGGAGGTCCTAAATGTGCCCAGATTCCCCTTGCCCTGTGTCTGGGGGGAGAAACGGCGAAGCTCTTTGTTTCTCTACAACAAGTTAATAATTGCTTTTTGGATGATTAGTAGTGGTTGGTCTACCGATCATTATCACCTTATATATACATGGTGGGGCGGACGGTTTGTTTCCAGTTGAAAAAAAACCAAACCCACCAATATCTATTTAAATACCACTTTTAAATGGAAAGGAAAATTTTAAAGCATATTTTAAGGGAAAAAAAGAGGGGTGCATAAAATTTGAGAAAACCTGGCCACCATAAGTGGTGAGGAGATCCAGATCGTGGGTTCAGTCACCATAGACATCAGTGCTGAACTTGGGTGTGGAAGGCCAATGAGTAGAGTCCTCTGTTTCTTGGCAACACATGGCTCTTGCCATGTGAACAACTTGGCCGGAAGATTTTTGAAAGGAGTCAAATATATGGATATTTTCAAATTTTCCATATTTAATTTTACAGTTTATTCATTTTATGTCTGTCTTTACCCACATGGTTTGTGGGTAGCTAGGAGTAAAATTTCAGGGGATTGGTTCTCTCCTTCCACCCGTGGGTTGCCGAGGACTGAACTCAGGGTTGGTGACGGGTGCCTTTACCTGCTGAGCCATCTCTCTAGCCCTTTAAATATCTATATTGAAAATAGGAATTTTTTATATAAAATATCACCACCATTATAGACTTCAAAGCTATATAACATTGGTTTAGCTGTGAACACACTTTGTCTCCTTTCTGTGTAAGCCAGCTGACTTTGTCTCTTTGTTCATACTCTAATTCCATCAAATGGCTTGAGAGGGTCTTTCTCTTTCTTTCTTTCTTTCTTTCTTTCTTTCTTTCTTTCTTTCTTTCTCTCTTTCCTTCTTTTTGTTGTTGTTACTTTTGTTTTTCAAGACAGAGTTTCTCTGTAGCTTTGGAACCTGTGCTGGAACTCACTCTGTAGACCAGACTGGCCTTGAACTCACAGAGATCTGCCTGTCTCTGCCTCTTGAGTGCTGGGATTAAAGGCTTGCTTTCTTCCCAGATGTCTCCATGAACTTGTTTGCTTCCCTACATCCACTTCACTCTCTCCTGACTTCGCTGCTGCACGAAGCCTGCTCCAAGGGTCAGAAGTGTAGGCTTGAACTGACACCAACCACACAGAGCTCAACCGAAGGCCACTTGAGGCTGGGAGGTGTGGGAAACATGGGAAACAGAAACGGCCACTCAAATTCGAACTGGAAAGCTCTCAAAAGCATCCCTCTGCCTTCTGGCCTTCTGTGCTCTTTAGACTGTAAATACTCTGCTCAGAAGTTGCAAAGCTTTGGACAGTTACATCAAACATTCTTTGGAACTTTAATTTTTGTGTGACTGATGCATTCAAGTTTTGCTTTATATGCAGATCTAGCCTGAAAAAGCTTCCTCCAGGCCCTGCTGCTCACACCCCAGTTTCCACATCCTCCCCAGAAGGCAGCTGCTGTGGCGGCTTCTTCTTCTTCTTCTTCTTCTTCTTCTTCTTCTTCTTCTTCTTCTTCTTCTTCTTCTTCTTCTTCTTCTTCTTCTTCCTCTTCTTCCCTTCCTCCTCCTCCTCCTTCTCCTCCTCCTTAAAATAAGATCCATTCTTGCTGTGTGTTGGGTTCATCTTAAGACTCTCCCCCTCAAACCTCCCCAGATCCCAAGTACTAGAGTTCTAGTGTGTGCCTCCATGCCTGACTTCACAGACAATTCATATTTTTCCTGTATTCTTTTGCTTTCCTGTATGCATATAAATAAAAATATACAGCTTTTTATCTTTTATAAACAAAAGTGCATACTTTGGCATTTTCTTTTACTCTGCTGATATGGAGTCTTTTCATACAATACACAGAAGGCTTTTCCGTTTTCCCCTTTTAAAAAGTAGAATACATAATAATCTACTTTTAAGATAGACTAAACGATATTTGGATACAACATAGTTTCGAGTATACAGAAAAATTGCAAAAATATCAGAGTATCCTAAGATATTTTGAGTGTGATTGGTGCGGGGAATACTAATTAGAATAATTTGGGCGAGTCAACAAAGAGAGCCTTAGTCTTACTAGGAATTCTTTGAGGATTTACCATTCAGTGTGAAATGAGCTGTCCCTGTTGTATCCAGGAAACAAACCCACAGTTCTTATTAAAGGAACCACAATGAAGCAAGCATCTTGGCTTTGAAATATTAATTTACACAGACTACATTTCTTCCCTTTAAAACAACAAAGGGGGACTGGGCTTACTTTGAAGATTATGCAGTAACATGTCCAGCAGAGTCATAAATTTTGAATATTGGTCGAGGGAAAAGTCCATATCTTTGGCCCAAAAGAACCCGGATACATAGTAGTCCAAGAGAATGGCATCTCTTAAGCAAGTCTGGAGATTTTTAAAATTCAGAAATACTCTCATTTTCCTGCAACAACAACAACAAAAGGCAGACATTAAATGGGATTAAATACCGAACAGTTCTGAGAAGTCTTGAAAGCAACAAGTTCAATGAAAATTCTAGAATGCATCTCACTGTAAAATGTTCAGTCCTATCAGAACCCAAAAATGACAGGAAAAGGGGAGGAGGGAAGGAAGGAGAAGAGAGGCAGGGGATGGATGAGAAGGTTCTCCCCCTGCTCCTCAATTGTTTTTTTTTTTTCCTCTGTCTCCACTTCTTATACTTTCAATATCTGGTATTTTTTTCTCTCTTGAAATTTAAAGTTCAAATTCTTTGTGTGTGTGTGTGTGTGTGTGTGTGTGTGTGTGTGTGTGTGGCAGTCCCTCAGGTAGCTCAGGCTAGTCTGGAACTTTCCATGCAACCAAAGACAACCTGATCCTAAGCCCAAACTCCATTGCTATGGCTGGGATTAGAGGCAGGCGTTCAAAGTGGGCGTTCTTCCTACCAGGACCTCTCTACAAAACAATCTACTGATTACCTTTGATCAATTTCTGAAAACAGGTTGTTAAATATCCTTCTCTCTCTGCAAAGCAAGCAGCCTGTGCCCCTTTCATTGGCTTTCTGTCAGGTACACTTAATTTTTTTCAAACATTCTTCCTTTCCCTGAGTCTATTTCTTCTTACTTCTCTCTCAGGATGGGTTGAGCAGTTGTTCCTCCTCTGACCTGCTCTTACCGTCTTTCTTTTTCTACATTTTTCTTCTGCTGTTTCTTGCCTCTGCTTGTCCATCATCTCTTCCCCCAGCTGTTCTAAGTCTGTTTTGTGCTGTTGTTACTATTGCTCCATAAGTTTTGAAAAAAAAAATCTGTGGCACAGCACAGAATTAGCCTGTATTCTCTGTGCATTGCTGTTCACATCTTTCTGATGGTGTCTGTCCTGCAAATGTCCTGGTCTATGCTCTGTCACTGTCTCTGCAGGCATAGGCCTCATGTGTTATTTTTGAACAGGGGATAGCTGCTGGCAGGAAATGAGCTGGGTGTGGAGACCTGCCTACGTACAAACTATTAGATGCTCCCTGAGTCGCTATATTGACGCTAGTAGACACTTCTGGTGCCATGATACAAACTCGTTGGTACTTCCTTTGTCCTGATAACCAACTCACAGGCATTTCCTGTGTGTAGTTACTTTCTGTCCATTCTTCTAACGTTTATGTCTGTTTGGATTAGTGAAATAAAAAAGAAATATATAGACTCATTTTACTGTGACATAAATGGTCTGTAATACAGATGTGTGCACCCCATTCCAGCACACCCAGGTCCTACACTTGAAATGTGGATTCATTTCATAATATCTAGGGTTTTCTCCAGGAGCGATCCTGTACTTTTCCTTCATCCTAAAGCCCACAGCTGTGTGTATCTCCCTCAAACTGTCTCCTGCACATCCAGTTGTGGGGATCTCCTTCAAAGCTCGTGGCTTGGGTCTTCTACATTCTCTCTTCTTGACAAAGGCTTAATTGGTTTTCCTCATTGCTAATATGTGACTTCTCGGGATGACTTGGGAGATGGTATGTGTGGCAAATTCACTTCACCGTCTTCAAAAGCAGAGCCCTGTCCTTCACCGGATTCAAACGAGTGATAATTAAACCAAGTTTAGATGCTAAAATGTCTTTTGACATGTGTCTAACAAATCAACGCCCACCTCAAATGCAGTGCTATCAGGAGAAACCACAAACCCTACGTGAGGTCTGATGGTTTTTAAGCAACCCCTTCATCGCCTCTCCCCTTCCCACCATGGCACACGTTGTTAAACCTATAAAACTGGCCTTAGGGAAGAGTTTTTCTGTAGGTGTTGTGATACCTTGTTAACTCACAAGGACAAGTTAGCTTTTCTTCCATTGTGTGAAAATCAAACAGAGTCATAAATAAGTAGCTTTGATTGCTACTGACAGCCATCTTGTAATCTTTATCTAAAATATCACATAACAGGACACTTAGGGGCAGGTTGGTTTCATAATATTGAGTCTGATAGTGACATTATATGTATGTGTGTGTGTGTGTGTGTGTGTGTGTGTGTGTAGAGTATTTATGTATCTGACACCACTTGAAAGTTTTTAACGTGTTTGTGTGCATGTGTGTAGAGGCCAGAGGACAACTTGCCAGCTTGCCCTGGATCCACTGTCTGCCTCCCAGTGCTGGGATTATAGGCAGCCGCCATGACTGCCCATCTTTAACATGGTTGCTGGGGCTCTGAATTCCAGTCACCACACCTGCGTGGTAAGCACTTGGCCCACTGAGCTGTCTCCCCAACCCTTACTAGTTGCTTCTACAAACAATTTTCTAAGAGCTTTGGTGTCACGAGAACTACTGACCCTTTGTATTTGGGGTGCAGTTCTAGAAAGCATTCAGAAATTCAGTTTTATTTTTGTGAAAGGTAGAAATTGGGTTATTCCCCCCTCATGCACATTCCTATTTTTACCAGAATGTTCTAGAACAGTTGTTCTAGTTTATAATTATCCTGTTTGCCTTTATTTTAATTTCAAATGAATCTTGTTCTCACTGCCAGGGATTTTTAAATTTATTTTCTTATTTTTGTTTTCTAGATCACAATTCTCTTTGACAGTTTTCTTCTTATTGTTCTAGTAGATGCATCAATGAATTGATTAATCTTTCCTGAGGTGATAGGTCAATTTTTCAAATAAACCACAGGACACTGAGTTTTTTGAGTTCTCTGTGTAAAAGATGCCCTAAACAATGCCTGCTAGAATGTGATTCTGAAATCTCATTCTTTCTACGAACCAGGCTGGGATGACTTGCCTGGTCCTCAGAGAGCTGTTGTCCGTTCCTGACAGGGAACTATGAGAGGCCTGCCTGCTCCTTGTCCCTGGGTCACCTTACTCGAGACATAAAGAAACGCTTGAAGTTTCGTTCCAAGTGAAACAGGAAAGACCAAGCCTGTGTTACACGAAGTTTCCTTCTCTTCTGGTTCGTGATGTGAGATGTGTAGCCCCATCCCCTCCCACCGTGCTATCACACACTCCCCGCTACGAGTTTTCTTATGTTTATCTTCTGTTGCCACCGACTTCGTTTTCGGCAAAGCAGATTTCACATTAACTTAGTTCTTTATGCGTAGCATCTTCTTTTAGCTCCAAGGGTTTCTTTATGTACATATCTTACCAGCTCTTTAATCTCCTGGTTTGTGGAATTGATTCAGCCTTTAATCATGAGCTTTTGGTTAACATTTCTCTCACTTCTGTTGAGTTTTCTTTAAACTTTCTCTTCATCTGCCTCCTGCACTCTGTGTAAATATTTGACCGGAATACCTGTACATGGTCTTTGTTTCTTATTTTTCTATTTTCACTGTTTCGTTTGAATGAACTCAACAACTTTTCCAAGCATATTTTGGTGACCACTCCCTGATTTCCTCCACCTCAGCTTTGGCCGACACCCCTCCCCCTTTCTCCCCTTCCCTACTGCCAGTGGACCTCCCTCCAGTGACTCGACCCTTGGGGCTTAGTATTGACTTGATGGTTTCTATTCTTCACCCGTCATTCCACTCCAAAGATGATATAGGAGTTATTGAGAGCAAGACACTACCACAGCTGGAACAGTGTCTGAGTCTTCTACTGACCAGTTTGAAGAGAGACAGAAAGAGAAACAGAGAGAGAGAGAGAGAGAGAGAGAGAGAGAGAGAGAGAGAGAGAGAGAAAGAGAGAGAGAGAGAGAGCACCACAACTGTAGAATGGGCTAATGCACGCAAGGGAAAAGGAAAGGAACTGGGGGCATCTCGGGACATTGTGACGTGGCCAGAGGTGACGGAACTATCTGCTTGGCTTCATCAAGAGTATCAACAAAACTATCTCATCATTCCTTCATGTTCTAGAACTTGGAATGTGTTCTCCTTCTGAAGTGCATCGGCATGGAGAAACGAACTCGTCAGACCAGCTAAGCCACTCAGAGAGGTCTGGCTACAGAAGGTTATTAGAAGGTCTCTTGAGAGACCTGGTGTGATGGTGCACAACTCATAGCACTTGAGACGTTGAGGCAGGAGCATTCCCTTGAGTTGAGGCCAGAATGGGTGACAAGAGTCAGACTCAGTTTCAAAAAAATACAATCTAGCAAAACCAAGGCTCGGTGTTACTTCTGTGTTTATAAAGTTATTTTTAACTAGCCTCTATCATTGTTAAAGATTGTATTCTTTTAAAATTTTATTTTTTTGTATAGCTGTTCTGCTCATATGTATGTCTGGGTACCATTTGTTTGTCTGGTACCTGAGGAGGCTGGAAGATGGCATCTGATTCCCTGGAGCTGGAATTCAGATGGTTGTTATCTACCATGGGGTGGTGGGAATCAAATCCAGGTCCTCTGCAAAAGCAGCCTTTGCTCTTAACCACTGAGCCATTTCTGCAGCCCTCTCTTGTCTTCTTGAAATGAAACTCTGGAGTAGATTTGTAAGTACTGCTGTGTCGTATATAAATAAATTATTATCGATAGCATACATTAGAAAGTCATGAAAAGAACACCAGGCATGTGAAGTCTATTTCGAAATGTATTTTGAATAATCCCTCATGTTTCTTGGGTTGCCTGTTGATACAGAGAAGGAGTTCATAATTGTGAAATGTAGGGAAATGTGATGATCTGTTGTAATTTATTTAAGTAGGTTTATGGCTCTTCAAACTGCATGATCTGGGACTATTTTGGTCACTCAGGAGAGGATAATTAAATTATACTGCTGTCTTTTTGAAAAATATATAACCATCACTTACAATAATGCTGTTTTAAATTGAAAATGACTGCAAATATATGTAGATTATTGTTAGAGAAGTTATATTTTAAAACACAGGAAAGTTTCACGAAAATGGCTCCTAAGATAACACTGTCCTAAAAGCTCGGCATCCGATCCCTTCCTGTGATCATCCGCATCCCTGGAGACCTGCCTTAGACACAGCTGCTTTACGTATTCCCCACGCTGCTAAGTTTTGTGCTGTGCTCTGTGGGTTTTGTTTGTGTCTTTGTATCTAGCCAAGTGACCCTGGTTGTCCCAGATGTACACTGAGAGCTAGGCTGGCGGTGAACTTACGGCCATCCTATGCTTCTGTCCCTGGCCATGTTGCTTCTCCCAGTCCTTCTGTGACTGTTGCGACACTGGCTGTGTCCTGTGCTTTGTTCCACATACGTCTTCCCGGCACTTTTAAGTCTTTTCTGAATTTGGATATTTAACAATGAAGGACTGTCAATAATTGAAAAGAAATTGTGTTTTATAAGGTAGGGCACATAACCACGGTACAACTTATGATGGAAAAATGCACCGTTCTAGAAACTAACATTTTATTTAATATTAATTACTATTAAATACTAGATGTTTGGTATTTTTAATGTTGACATTTTACTTACTAGTTATTGCAAGTAAACTGGAAGCTGGATGAAATATCTATCTGTTGCATTGTATTGCTCTCACTGAGTACGGCTTTGCATGGCAAAGATCACTTTCATATAGTGACCCACAAGTGGGAAAAACCCTTTACAAAGAATCACTATGGATATTATCAATACCATGAGCGATTATTTTAAATCAATTATTAAAACTGTTTGGATTTATTTGCTTACCCTTTGTGTGTATGGCTGTGTGTGAGGGGTGTCTGCACACCATAGCACAAGTACCGCGGTTGGCGAAGAGCTTTCTGGAGTTCATTTTACTGAGTAGAACAGGGCTCAAACTCAGGCATCGCATTCCATCTGTGATACACACATTTTGTGTTTTTTTTTTGTTTTTTGTTTTTTTTTGCGTTTTTTCTTTTCATCAACCCCTATGCTATGAATAGGAATTCCCACTATTTACTTATGTAGAAATGGTAAAAAAAAAAAAAAGTGTTATAAAAAATCATTTAAAATGGGTGGGAATTTTTAATTCTCTGACTGACTCTCAGGGAGCTGCAGACACTAGACAGTTAGGCCCAGTCGTTGCTATCATTTCCCTGTGAAAGCATTGGAAGTGAAGTGCATCTTGGGAAAAACCTGTCCATGCTGTCTGCCTGCTCCTGATGAGCCTTCTCAGCCTCCTCTCCTATCCAGGACATCCGCCATAGCTCCTTCTCAGGAGCAAACCACTTCAGTGCCACAGCATTTGTAAGATCTGTCTGTTGTCACCACTGAAGGAGTCACTGTCTATTTGTTCGTTATGGCCTGTGCCACCTTCCTGTGCCCTGAGTACTGGCTTGCAAAGACCAGATTTCAAGTCATGGGCCCTCGCAACACACCAGACCAATACAACTCTCCATAGTCAAGTTCCACTTCAAGGTGGGATCACTTGTTTGAAATCGCAAGTGATGACTAAAACATCTTTTTCTTCAAAAGATTTGTTTTTATTAAGTGTATGTGTATGTGTGTGTGTGTGTGTGTGTGTGTGTGTCTGTCTGTCTGTCTGTCTGTCTGTTGTCTGTCTGTCTGTCTCTATGTGGGGGTTATTTGCAAGTGAGCCAGGTTCTCACAGGACCCAGAAAGAGCCTTGTATCCTTTGGAGCTAGAGCTGTAGGCAAGTAATTGTAAGCTTCCCAATGTGGGTGCAGGAAACAGAACTTGGGTCTTCTACAATAGAAGTATGTGCTCTTAGCCACTAAGCCATCTTTGTAGCCACCAATAAACATCTTATTTAAGGAAACCATGTTGACCTCTGTAGCTGGTTAATATTCTAAATAAATGGCATGCCTTAGTACTATTGACCTCCGACAGCAGGATGTTAGAATTATTTGGCAAATTCACTCCTACCTACATTTAAAACAACACATGTCATAAGAGTCTAGAGTTTAGCATCAGTTTTTTTTCATAAATATCACTGGCAAATGACTAGCATGCAGAACTTGCAATATCATACCTACTGGATAGTTTTATATCAACTTGACACAAGCTACAGTCATCAGAGAGGAGGGAACCTCGGTTAAAAAAAAAATGCTTCCAAAAGACCAGGCTGCAGGCAAGTCTATAGGGAATAGTCTTAAAATTGTTGATGGGGGAGGGCCCAGCCCATAGTGTGTGGGGCCTCCCCTGGGTTGGTGGTTCTGGGTTCTATAAGAAGGCAGGCTAAGCAAGTCATGGTGAGCAAGCCAGGAAGCTGCACTCCTCCATGGCCTCTACATCAGTTCCTGTCTGTAGGTTCCTGCTCTGTGTGAGTTCCTGTTCTAACTTCCTTTAATGAACAGTGATGTGGAAGTGTAAACCAAATAAACCCTTTCCTCCCCAAGTTTTCCATTTTCATCATGTTGTCATAGTATTCTTTTAATTCCTTTCTTCTTTTTCTTCTTCTTTTTCTTCTTCTTTTTCTTCTTCTTCTCTTCTTCTTCTTCTTCTTCTTCTTCTTCTTCTTCTTCTTCTTCTTC